ACTGTTCTCTCATTCTCCTTCTGAGTGAGGCAGGAGCCTCGTCTGCGCAAACGATTAAATCCTCTTGCTTGTTGCATCTCCTGGTCTGAGGACTGAGTTATTGGGGTGCGGCCTCCCGTGGACGTTGGGTACCCCAGCCTGGGGGTCCTACAAACTCTTTTATCTCCAGTTTAGTAAATTCTTAATTAAGGTAAACTCATCAAACTTGTCAAAGTGATTTGAATATTTACAGGCCACAAGGAAAATTATATTTTTCTCTTAGGGAGACTAAGTTATAACACATACTATGTGCATCCAGGATTTTCTAAATTTTCATAAAAGTAAGTTTTTTATTTTTTAAACTATCATATGGAATTTTATGGGATACAATTTGGTAAGTGAGAAAAACTGAGTATGAATAAAATCATTATACAACTTAGTTTTATCAGATATCACTCATCTAAACTGTACTATATTTCACTGATCAGTTAAAAACACTTTAAGAGATTCAAGGTCATGGAAGAGTTTCCTAGCTTTGGATGTTTAATCCTTTCTTTCAGCACTACCTGTCAGCAATGTGGTTCTTCACTTGCTTTTTGCTAGGGAAGCTTGGTGAGACTGGGATCATACCTATGCCAGTTAATACAGTAGACATGAAGGGCCCTTGACTGTTCTTTGTTCCTGGGTCAGGCTGTCTAGGAGAGACCTACTCTGGCAGCTAGCCAGTCTGGAAAGGTCAACAGCACTTGTTTATCTGACTGAGACCTACCCTCAAACAGAAGTACTCAGAGGTTTTAGAGCTAAACTCAAGGAGAATAACAAGTATTGGTAAACACGTGGTAAAACTGATTGAGAGCTATGTTCCTGAACTCTATTTTCTTTGTCCAGTCATAGCTCCTATGAATTTAAACAACTGTGATCAGAACTGAGAGACAAGGAAACACTATTAAATCTTAAATCACCTTGAAAATAAATTGAAAGCTAGAGTGTCTGTGCTCTGTTTACTAGAGATTTTCATGTGTCTATGATCTCTTCTTACATCATCCCAGGCCAAGTTCCATTCCCCTCTGTACTTGTGTCCAAACTAGGAAAAGACTTATTTTTAACATTCTAAGATATAAAGTTCAAGAAATACAGAAGCAGAGACATTACTAAGGAAATCTAGCTGTCTTTTGGCAGAGAAAGGAAACTGAGATAGGAAGCAGGAAATTTGGTTTGAAGCAATACAGATATTTTGGAAATGCATAGAGGTGATGGTTGCACAGCATTAAAATTACACTGAAAGTATAATCAATGCCACTGAATTCTAGACTTATAATGCATCACAAGGCAAATTTGATGTTACAGTGTATCAGTATTAGCACAATTTCTTAAGACTTCAATAAATCAAATATTGTTGAATCATGTATTTCAAATGGGTGAGCTTTGTGGCGTATAAATTGTATCTCAAAAAGCTGTTAAGGAATGTTGTGGGCAGAAGAGGGACAAGCTTACTGGAGGAGGAAGGCCTGGGGTGATAGGTAGGTGTCCCCAGCCTTACAGTGGTCACACCATAGCTTCTGGTTTGATCCAACAGGTGCTTCCCTGAAGATGACTCATTTTAATCTACACTGGGACAAAATGCAAGGATAAACGATTGCTGCTGTTGGCATATGAAGCTTATTTGTTCTGGTACTGTGGTTTCTAAAAACTGTTTATTTTTCTTCCAGTGTTTAAAAGGATCATACAACAGTGGTCGGTCGACGGTCCAAAAGAATTTTAAAAAACAAACAAGCCTCTTTATCAAGATGGCAGCATCTCTCTATATGTATACATAGCCAGGATTTCCTAAATCCTGAAAGCATGTAGAAATGAAAATAGTTACTGACAGTTGCCTTTGTGAGTCAGATTTCTAGGAATTTTTGAGAAAATGTTACTGCTGAGAATGATGGATACCATGTAGGGACCCTCATCATCCAAGCCCTAAATTCAATAAAATCCACTAATTTTCAAATGCTTACTAATTAAAAACTTTTTACCTTCCATTTTATGTATTCAAAACACCTTCAGTGGCTGCTGCTATCCTATCACCAGACAGATGGTTGGACAATGCTTCAGGCTGAAAGGCAATCACTCATCACTGAAGGTAAATTCAGTCCTATTTCTATGATTTCCAAAGTTCCTGAAAGGGATTCTAAGTCAAAAGGTGGTCTCTTTTTCTTCCTTCTTTCTTTCCTTCCTTCTTTTTATTTATTTATTTATTTTTTGGTCTTTCTGAGATAGTTTCTTTATAGCCCCAGCTGGCCTGAACTCACGGTGTAGACAAGGCTGGCCTTGATCTCACAGAGGTCTGCCTGCCTCTATCTCCACAGTGCTGGGATTAAAGGCATGAGCCACCACGCCCAGCTGGCTTCTGTTCTTTTGTACTGTTTGATTTTGTTATGAAGCCTCTGTTTTCTACTTTCAAGAACCATCTACCAATTAAAACTCAGTATAGGAAGGAGGATGTGGGGAGGGCAGAACAGGAGGACTCTCAGGTAAAGGAAAATGAAGGTACATCAAGTTAAATAAGGCTACCTCAGTTTTTATATAAAATTAAATGACACTCTGCACAAACTGAGCACTTTAAGTGCTTTAACTACAGTTTTAAGGAAAGTCAATGACAGGACAAATTTTCTTAATTTTTAAGCCAGTGACACCTTTTCTTTGGGATGATTCTTTTCTTTTATTATTTTTCTTTGTTTTTTATGCGTATGACTGCTAAGTGCACCCGTGTCATGCAATGCCCGTGGAGGATAGAAGAGGCTGTCGGATCCCCTGGAACTGGAGTTACAGACAGTTGTTAGCCACCATGTGGGTGCTGGGATTTGAACCTGGGTCTTCTGCAAGAGCAGTCAGTGCTCTTAACCACTGAGCCATCTCTCCAGCCCCGATACTTACTTTTCTTAAAAATACATAAGAACTCCAAAATAAAATGTCATGAAGCCTTCCACAGAGCCGCCTTGTTCTTAATGAATCTTCTTGAGCCTCAGGAACTGGAATGTTCTAGAATACAACATTGTTCTGGGAAAGATGCTCTCATTTCTCACTCCAAGACAAATAAAGACTAAAAAGTCCAAAACAAGAAATTTTCCTTCAAAACAAACTCTGTACTGTTGAAATGATCTTCCTCTTGGCTGTGTGAATGAGTGTGGTGGAGTTCTTTTTAACCGGGGAGAGAACATTCATTCTGGAAAGTGTTTAGATCCCTAATATTGTAAAGAGCAGAAATACCACTGATGAAAAAGACCAGTCTCAACACCTCAACACTCAGGTACAGAGTCATTGTCAGATCTCACATTTTATATTTTTCAAGAATTAAAGTGATTTGGGTGCTGGAGAGACGGCTCAATGATTAAGAGCACTTGGCTGCTCTTGCAGAGGACCTGGGTTCACTTCCCAGGGGATCCAACACTCTCTTCTGGGCTCTACAGGCATTGCATAACACATGTATACTTACATACATGCAGGCAAAACACTCATATATATAAAATAAAAATAAGTAAAGGCGTGGTGGCACACGCCTTTAATCCCAGCACTCAGGAGGCAGAGGCAGGAGGATCTCTGTGAGTTCAAGGCCAGC